CATGGATTTTTACCAAAACCTAATCAAATCTGCGCATTGGCCCAGAGCATCTATGCACCAAGTTTCATTAAAAACTGATGTATGGTTCTTGAGATAGCAGTGGAACAGTCGGACACACATACACACACACACACACACACACATATACACACACACAGACACACTAACTGCAAAGACTCCCATTTTGTGCTTCGCACATGGAAGTCAAAAATGATGTTATTCTTTGCAATTACATCATCAATTCATTATAATTCTTGATCATATTTTTTGTTCATCCTGGTTCTCCACATGATGAGAAAAGAATTAAAATGGTAATTAATTTGCATAAATGTAGCACCAAAACTAATTAGGTCTGCAAAAACAGATACTTTTGTGTCTACTAACTATTAATCAGTTTTTGAGATATTGAAACTTTGTTTATAAATTGTTTAACAAATTGTACATATTATTACTTTTTCAATAACTGTAAATGTTTCCTGATATTTTTTGATAAACTGTATGAATTTGAATGCTTTTCTTGAAACATCGTCTTCACCATCCATCGACATCAGCACATCAGCGTGGTCCATTACATCAAGACCTTACAAGATAATAATAAAAAAAAAAACAAATTCAGCATAGCCTTTTACATTTTAGCGATGATGTTTTCAACAAAAATGTTCCATCATAAATGCCAAAACATTGTAGGATACAATAGTTTGTTTTAAAACTTTGAAATTGCACACAATTCATCTGAAATTCATTAAAAAAAGTTTGCCATATATTATCTCCAAAAAAAACACATTATTAATTAATTTAATTATGTGCGGCATTCACATTTTGAAAGTTATATCAGGGCTGGCTAGGTCAAAAAACAAAACAAGCAGCCTCTCGTCTGAGATAGTAGAAATTTCAATTAGAGAATTGAAGGTCTATCCAGGGTACATATACACTAAGTTATAAAAACTACAATTAGACTTGTAGTTTTCAAGGAGAAGTCGAAAAAGTAAAAAGTTGACACGAACAACAATGAGTTTACAACTCGGTTAGCCTCGCTCAACTGGTTTGTAACCAGTCTTGTGATTGGTTCTTGACAAATTCTGAGCAGGCCACGCCTCCAACTGTGCCGTGCTTCCGGGTCAACTGTTAATTATTCATATTCATTCATTATTTGAAAGAGCAACCAATATTCTTCAAGCTGGTATTTTTTAAATTTTTTTTTTTCATTCTGTTCGACTGTTTTTTTCCAGTTTAAAAAATATGAGCTTGATGGAGCCTTCATCCCTTGTCTATTTCTTACACTAAATACCAGCTGATACCTGATGTGAAAGCTCTTCCTGCACCAGTTAGTATAACAATCCGACAGTTTGGATCTTGAGCAATGCCATTAAAGCATTCTACCATCTCCCTGAATTGATACACAGACAAACTTATTAATTTCTGGGCTATTAGAAGAGATAAAATTTGACAAAAACACTACATTGGTGTCATAACCCCTCAACACCAAACTCTCCTGCAGTTGATAAAATAAAACCAGGTTATTCATGTTCGAAGATAAAATAACGACATTGTTTGTTGTTGTTGACATTAAATATACACCTTTTCACCACCTGACTTCCTTCTTTTCTGCACTTTTTTCTTATATTCTTCAATAATTTTGGAAATTAACCCTAATTTTGGAACCAACATACCAAATTTTCAGTTTTTACTCAAAAATTTAGGCTATTTTGTCCCATTCTTCTGATGGAAAGTGCAGACCTTTATACGAGACTATTTTGTGAGTTTCTGATGAAATAGGGAACTAGTGGTGAAAAGATTAATAAAACAACTTGTGGGCAACATTGTCACAGCAAATCATAAACTATGGAAAAAAAAATGCTATGCTTGAAAAAAAAAATTGTGCAAACAAAATCAGAAGACAATGGATAATGTTCTAAACCATCAAAATAACTAACCTCCAGAAAGCTTTGTTCATTGCATTGAGTTTTTTTGGTCGATTCAGTTCAACTTGGTAAACATATTCCTTTGGACTGGTCACTGCTAAAGTCTCAAACTGTGGTAAAGAATTGGAAGACATCTTCCTAGCTGAACACAGTACTTGTGTAAGTTTGATAGCTGTGGAAGTAAGAGCAGTTTCACAGTGAATATAGTATTACAAGATTTTATTTCAATTTATCAATTTATCAATTTGATATTTTCGACCACGGACTGACATCACACATTATGACTTTTCTATGGAAGTTTATGAGCGTTTACATGCTAGTATCTCAACAGAAAATAGGTGATTTTCCGAACATTTGCGAGATCTCGCGAGATGCATGAAAGACGCGCGTCGAACGTCTGCCGCAAAAATTGAACGATTTGATTTTGAACTAGAATTTCTTTATTTCGCAGCTTACATTGACTGGCCGATCTTCGACAGAGGAATATTGCTTCCGAATACCCTCACTTAATCGAAATTGCCTATCATCAAATGTGGACAGCACATTATTAAGCATGGAAATGTCCCCGAAATACTTTCGCGTTTGCCGAATCCCACGCGATGTTTGACGCGACTACGACGCTATGACCTTTGTTTGTCCTGTTTTTACGTTCGATTTCACGCATAACGCGTGATTCTCGCAGTGTACGGAAAATGGTCTATTGTGGTGAAACCTGCATGTGAAACTCAAGTGGCTAATTGGCTATACATTAATATTAATTTGTCATTTGATTGTTAATTGTTTACAGCCCTGTGTGTATATTTTCAGTATTATACCGTCAGACCATTCTGCCAACCACAGCCCTGCATATTACAGGGGCTCTTTTTATCAAATATTTACTAATCCTTGCATCATATTTCTTTTTGTTATAACTGTGCACAATAACCAAATTCCAGATGGCTCTGGGGTGGCTCTGTTATTGTATGTTAGACCAACATATGACGAACATCCGGGAATACTTGTAAACAATGGGTCAATAATATGGGCAGTTATCAATTAATATTTTAAACATTAAGAATGAAAACATTATAAATGATGTGGCGGAACACTTTTATAACTGTTTAAACATATGAGAAAATTCAATTAAAAGTGAAATGCTTAAACCAGCTGCTTCAGAAAAAACATATTACCCAGTTTTTCTATGTTTAGAAATTGAGAATCTTGTTTGATTTTCCCTGTATTATTAATAGTGTTTGTTACTATATTGTACTTTTCATCAAAACCTCAAATATGGGGTATGATAGCAATAAAG